GGATCACAGTCCTGTCGTTATAAAGCTTCTTTTTGGCACTCTCTCTGTGCCAGTCGCTTTGTTGTCACTGCGCTCAACAGGGTCATGGTATTTTAGCCAATCTATTCTTAAGATAAGGTTATCTTTCCCCAGATTGGAAATAAACATTTGAACACACTCTGTGTGTGTTTGTCCATAGATATCCTGAATTCAAGGTTCACATATAATGCTGGTCAGATGAGACCTGCCTTGTTAATAGTATCATTAATATTATGAATGCAGATGGGGTAGTCAAGCAAGTATGTGGGGAAGCAATGTTTTTTGACCCATACTTCATTTACTATAACTCTTTGCATGCCAGGTTGATCGTTGCTTTATCTCTAGCATAATAGGTCTGGTTTGAGACTAGCACTTTTAAGTGGATGGGGGTAATGGTGTGGCTGTTTATTCCTCCAATGCAAATATACTCTGCTGCTTCAAACTTGGGCCTCGCTTGAGCTCTCTCCTTTGTTGGTGAGGAAAAGGTCAGGCAAAATGCTCTGATTCAAGCAGTATAACTAATATTTCTATTTTTTCATTGCCCATTAGGTGATATGATGCATTGCCCGTTAGGTGATATGATGCATTGCTAATTGTTTAGTGAGAGTAATCTGGATGTGGAAGGGTATAGATGTTTCATCAAATAACTAGGTTGTGGTATCCACTGGTTATCACGATGAGTATCCCTTATCTTTATTCCTTGATGTATTCCTGCTTGGTTTCCTAAAGCAGATGTATTGATGAGCATGCACCTGTGCTAGAGTCTGAGAAAAGTATTTGGGAAGCTTTGGGGAGACACCAAACAGCGCTAGATAAGTACTGAAGATGCTGACTTACACCAAACATTGTTGGTCCCCATCTGACCAACTATAACCTACCAAAGGATGTTTGGCAGCACTTGGGTCAGTTTGCCCACACTTCACGTACTTACCATGACTGTATAAGAGTATTACAATAGGTGTTTACAAGATTGGAGCCAGTATTCTGTATTGGCTGATATCCTTTGTGAGTTAGTTGGTCCTTATTGCTTATCTTCCCAACTTTTACATGGTAGGTCAAACACAATCTTGCACCATTTTACTTGGCTACCTTAGTCATATGTTACATCTTCTTTATTTTTATTGGTTTGCCAACATCTATTCTGACTAACTACATTTGAGCAATGGATCCCGAACATTTGGGATTTTGCTATTGCTGATTACCTTTTACCTTATCACCTTTGGAACCTATATGAACATCTCACCTACCTTCTTATCTTCTCTGTTTGCTAGGGCTTGGTGCCCATTTAACATCTATTCTCATTTCTTGTTTGATATTTTACTTAGAGGCTCTGTTTACTATAAAACCCTACATATAACTCTAGAATAAACCAGCTTTTGCACCCCACGGTTCAGAGCTCATTCATACTCATCTCAACTATTGAAATTGTCTTCATCAACTTCTGGAAACTTGTCATCCTTATTGTTTGGCCTTATTCATATTTGTACTCATCTTTTTGCTCATACCCCTTATCCTCCCTTATATATTGTTGGAGTCCTGTATGGCTCTTGAAGCACATACTTGTCAGCCGCGACACTACTTTCTTATCACTGATTGACTTTCTGACCTGACTCAACTAACTAAATGTTCAGTTGGTGTTTAGTGCAGTCCCAAAACTATTTGGGTGCTTTAATCTCACCCTCCTCATTACTCTCCAGTGCACCCTTACTTTCTCAAGTCCCAACTAACAATTCCTTGTGTATCAGATACTAGCTCCAGTACCCCTATATTAGAGGTTGTTTTAGTGTTGTGCTTGGCACTTAGAGCCATCTCTAGTGTATCAGCTTCTTCTTTTTCTTCAATATTAACTATATGGTTTTGTCTCCCTATCTTTCTCATGTGTCCTTTCAAGTTTCCTTGAATTGGTTGAATGCCTCTACATAGTGATTGACAGTCAGCACTATAGTGCCCTAGTCTTCCACAGTTGAAACACAAAATGGGTCACTTGCTATCATATTTCTTTTTCTGGCTTTTGGTATTTTATTTTCTTATAGTATCAATGTTCATGTCTACAACCTAGTTATTCATTCTTCAAGGAGCATTTATAGAGTTATAGCAGAAGGCAGGTTGGATGTGAAAATGATTCAAGAAATCACTTTGAAAAAAAATAGAGTTGGCAAGGATAGCCTTTTGAGCATTTCTTGCTCTAAGATATCTATCTATTTCATAGGCCATATTGATCCAATCTTGGATGTTATCCTTTGGCTAAACTTCCTTGTCATATATTTTGTCTATGACACATGGGTCTAGCCCATGCTAGAAATAGAGGACTTGCTTCTTTCTGGAGATGTTGGCATTGGCAGCAATAAGAATGAATTGGTTAGAGTACTCATCAACTATCATCTTTCTTTGGAAGAAAGCCATGAGCACAATTTGCCTCTTGTTGGTCTTGCTTATTTTCCTAAATTGTAGTTTGAACTTTGCTAAAAAGTTCACCTAGGTGCCTAAATTAATAGATAGATCCACCCCCCCTATTTTGAGGAGGAAGTTCTCTGCCTAGGCACCTGCCATGCCATATCTTATGCATAAGAGCACAAGGGAGATTTTACCTTGATTGGTCTTGTACTGTTTGGACTCTGCTACAAAAAAAAGAAGGCATTGGAGCATGAATTTCTAGGATTTAATGTGGTTGCCTATGTAATTGTCTGGGAGTTTGACTTTTTCTCTTCCAGGTTATACTGTTGTCTAAGGGATATTTGTAAAAGTCGATGCTTGTTCCAACATATTGGCAAGTGGTTGGTTTCAGGTATTAATTGGTATTTGGTCTAGTGATGTATGGGAATCTGATTAAGAGGCTGATTCCTCTTGCTCTAATTTTTCAGGGATTTCCAATGCCAGATCTTTGTACCAAGGTAGTGTATCCTAGTAGTTCTCTGTTTCATTCCAAAGGTACTCTTCCTTGATTCCATCTGTGTGGGTAAAGTAATAATGCCCATTCCTGTATGAGCAGTTATAGTACTTTGGTGGGGTATCTGTGTTGGTATCTATATATAGCCAATGGGTCTTTTCTTGTTAGAGAGGGCAATCATTCTGACAGAATTAATTGTTTGTGCATCTAGTGCCAGGAGAATATTCCTGGCCTAAGTCTTGCTCCAGAGTGTATACAGTAACACTTTCTTAATAGGGGTTTATATCCCTACTAAGTAAGGTTGTGAAAAAGAGTGTGGCAACAAGCTAGAGTTTGAGCAAGGTAAGGGCAGAAGAGTCCATTTCAGTGTTACAATTGCTCGTTCAGTAACTCCAAGAGTAAGAGATTCTTCCCTAGGTTGTTTGTGAAGGAAGAATAAAACAATGGTCTCGACTATATATGTAGCACAAGAGCCAGTAGTGTATTGCAGCAATGAGCAATAGAAAACAAGGAGTACTGAACAAAGAGTACTGTAGAAAGATAGTACTTGAATGAAGAGAATAGACTAGAAAACCTTAGCCTATTCTATGGGCCTTTTATACTACTTTAGAAGTGGGCATGAGAATCCTGTATATGTATACCATAGGTATTTTCCAAGTTATTACTCTCTAAAAATGACTACTCTTGCTTCTCTGCTTGTTTCCATCTGACTAGGAGAACAAGGAACTCCATGCTTATGTATGAGTAGTGTGTAAGGCAGGAAGGGATGCTTACTACAACAGGTTCATGATATTCAACCAGCAATGGGTGCATCTGCTGGGAGTTGATGACCAAAGGTAATATCTGTACCTTAGTGTACACCTCATGATGTGAGGCTGCTTAATAGTTGTGATGATAGTATTAGTATAGACTGCCATAAAGGCCCAGTAATTTGTGATCATAACATATGTTGTGCACTACAAATGAGACTCTGCTAAGTTCTGTCACCTTCCATTTAACCTAATCCAGTAAGAGAATCTAGTTGTCTAAATTTCATTTCATATAAGCATCTTATATAGCAATATAAACCTCCTTAAAAGCAGTTAATGAGCCAAGAAACATTTTGATTGAGTATTGTAAATCAGGATCTGTCATGTCAGTGTGTTATTGCAAAAAGTTATAGAGATACTGGAGAATTAATAGTAGGAGGCTATTATTATCCAGGATAGTATTCTAGAGAAATAAAATAATAGCGAGTAATTTTCTAAGCAGTGGGAGTAAATAGTTGGCAGGAGTAGCAGCAAAGATCATTTTAAGCTGTGAATTAGGTAATTTAATTTCTGGATCATCAATAAAGATTAATATATTGATTAGTCCAAGAATGATATTGAAAAAATAGACCTGGAATCTACAAATAGTACAGATGTGGCCTTGGCAGAGATGGGCTATGAGTAGAAGGCTATGGCTTAACAGAATGGTTGCATAGGTCTGAATCTTCCTATAAAAGTAGATCATTAATAGCCTGTATAAATATAAAAGAGAATGTAAATTTTTTTTGATCAAAAAAATAAGGGAAATAATTAGGAAAAAAAAGACATACCAAATTCCCTTGTTTTTTCAGAAACTCCATACACATATTGAAAGCACTAGTAGTCTTCCTTTTCTTGTCTTGATGCTCCAAAATGTCATTGTTTGATGTCCCATTTGATATGGAGGGTTGAATAGAGGGTCTTGAGTTATGAATTAGTTGCTGCTAGTATGAGTACTAGGTTAATCTGGTGGCATGCTTGCTACCAGGGCCTTGTAGCAAACAAGTAGGACACTTGCAGATGATACAAGAGTCTGGCTCTATATGCGAGATGATAAAAAACACTTGCTAGCATATATATTGAGAGCACACAACTATACTAAGGGTATACTAGCAAAAGGTGTGAGGCATCATAAATACTATATGTGTGTCACATGGCCACAATAACCTGCAAGCTCCCAATTTATTTCTGCCATACCACTCTCTTTTGCAAGCCACAGCCATATTACTTATTGGCTAGGCTCTTCCCTATATTTATCTTATGCCACCCATTAATTAAATGTCTACCTCCATATGTGCTAACCAACTGAGCACATAGCAAAGGTAAGTGCTCAGTTTATCTTACATCTCTTTGTATGCCCCAATACACCTCTATCTCTCTCTGCGACCTCTATCCTACCTTGTGACTGGACCACTTCTCTATATATACCTTTTATTAGAAACAACTCAGAATTACCATCACCTTTGCCTTTCTTTACCTTCTTCAGTGACCCAAGGCCTGCTTTCCCACTACTAAGGGCTCCTTGGGCCACTGTTTATTTATCTGAACATTTATCATTGCCTTCAAGATTATCTATGATAACACTTATTCCTATAATGCCTAGTGTACTATGAGCCAAAGTATGCTCATCCTCCATAAGATCAATCAGATAGAGCACAAGATATACAGTTATCTTAAATGTTAGATTAATGTTAAGTCATCAATTTTGTGCAATTTCAAGCCATAGGTAGTTGTTACTTTGCTAGCCATAGAACTTAACATTTTCTTTAGATTATCTTGCCACTACTGTTGCCCTTCTCCTTTACACACTCTATCCCTACCCTATTCCTACCTTTTTCCCCATGTTTGGCTCATAAACACCTTTCAACACTGGCAAGGCATAGGGCAATGCTCTATTGCTATTGTTTTATATACTCTCCTCTATATACAAGTCCAGGTCAACCTCTCAGTCACCTACATCATTTGCTGCCACTTTCTCTACCCTTAATACTTCTATACATACCTTTAGGCTATGTACACTCTCCTTCAAGTCTATGCAGCCTGGGTTCATGTACTAATCCACCTTACATATACCAAATTCCAAGATACCCACTTCATCATACTCAACCTTAACATCCACTCTTTCTTGTATGCACCCTTTACCTTAGCCTTGACCTTTTGGCTGCAGATATCATTTATTGGCTGCTCAGCCTTAACATATAAATGCTAGCTATAACTCATCTTTAGTGCCCAACTAGCATAAAGCTAGTCTGCAACACATCTTATTTGCAGGAGCCACTAATGTGCACTTGTCATATGTATATGTAAGTTTCATATGTTTTTTGACTTTTTATTTCTTTACTTGCATATCTATTGAATATTTCCTCTGGTACCCTACTAATGATTGTATATATAATATGAATATAATAGTTGTGGGTGCTTGTACTTAGAGCACTAGCAAGTGCACAAGGACAATATAGATGCAAGTCGCTACAAGTTATATAGGTTATATAATAAGAAATACAAAAGTCTGCAATGGAGAAAACAATCCAAAAAAAAGGAAAAGACAAAAGAAATACAAAAGGTGGAACAAACTAGAAGAAAATGTTTGATTTCTCAGGTTTTTTAGAAGTTTTTGACAGCAAAATATCTTTTTTCTTACTAGCTTCTACCTAGTCACATTTCTATGTGAAGTTTCCTACCTCATCCTCTCAGCTATGGGAGAATTCTCACTGAAAGTTAATGATAGGCTTTATCAAGATCTTCTTTTTAAAGGAACAAGATAAATTCTCTTGCAAGTCAGATATACCAAATCTAGAGGTTTCTAGTATATTATAGAAGTTATTTGGTGGGCCTATTTAAAGGGAACTATGCTCTTGATTTTCATATTTCCCCTTTCAAGTATTCTAGAACCTTGATACAAATACTACCTGTGATAATTGTGAATTGCCACCCAGCCCTTTTAACACTGCTTATAATAATAGTAAATTGCCATCTGATCCTTCTAAACCCTTTACTAACTCTGTTGTCTCTAATTCCAAACCCCCTTCCTTTGACAAGCATATGTATTCTAAAACTTACAACTCTGATGCTATAGTTAGGAAGCACAAGAAGGTTTTTTCTGAGGCTAAAAAGGCTAGAGACCATCATTATGGCCATCCTACTATGGTTAGATGCTACAAATCTTACAAATTTTGGAACAGTGTCACTATGGCTGAGATATAGGTATTTTTGGGAATTAGTCAAAGTATGCCTAATTAAATTTATCTACCTTTACAGCACATTATATTGCTTATATCCCCTTTAATAAGTCTGGGATTTTTTTGGAGTCTTGTATTACTAAATATTTTATCCTAGCTTTTATCTACTTTTCAAGATATATATAAGAAATATTTTAGAATTAGCACAATATTGGATAATCTAGTCATAGGACTTTGAGCCTCACTCCTGAGCTGATTCTTGCTACAGGTGCTCAATGAGAAGCCCATGGAGATGAGGTCTTGCTGGATGTTTATTTCATATTGGTAATGACTCTGGCTATGACTAGACTTGCTTGCCATCACTAGGCCAGTATAGTACTTTTTCTTATTTGCCATGAGTGGATGAACATGCTTATGTCTGGATATAGAATAGTCTGACTTATGCTGCATCTCTATAGCCTGTTTTTTTACAGCTGCTTGTCTCTCCCTCTTTGCTTTTACCTTTTGCAACATCCACTCATTATCATTTTTATTAAACTTGTCAGTGTGCTTCTCTGCCAAACCTACCCATGTCTTTAACATATGCTGGTTTCAGACCACCAGCATGCTCAGCACGAGGATCCCAATCCGGACCATAGTCATCATCTGTGTCAAAAGGTTTAAGAGCCTCAATGTCTGAATCTATGTGAGTATCAATCTCTATATCATAAAAAGGGTTGGCTTTATGATTGGAAGGCTGATTTCTCAAGCCAGAGATATTGCAAGAAGTGTGTGCTCTCTTTCAAGCATGGGCATGACAACGGAAGGATGTATATTCAGTGCTTTAGGTAGCATCACCTTGACAATTTTTTTGGCGATAAAATATAGATATTCTTTAGCAATTTTTTGATGGATTTATATAGTACTTATCGAAAGGAGTCGATTAGTGTATTTTACATGATTTATAGACCTTTTTTGAGGGGTCAGCCAATTTTTCAAGGTTTCTGGATCAAAGAATTACTTTTTTAGACTAATAGCTTGTAGGATTTTACTCAAAATATTTCTACAATATCTACTTAAGTATTGCTATCGATTCTGCTGTAACTAGGAAGCCCTAGAAATGGGTGACAAAATTTGTCAACTTTGCTTGTCCGTGACTATATCACATATCTAGAATAAGTATATATAAGATATCTATTATTATAAAGAATATAAGTTTCTTGACTATAACTGTGCTTTATAATGGCTTTTAAACAGTATATGGATACCTTATTGAGGATAGAACATATTAGCATGGAATTAGTAGCAGGTATAATAAGTATAATATAGTTCCTATATGAAAGCTTATACAATATATGCTATTTATAGCCATATGTGCATAAAATCTGCTATTTGTTACTATTCATTATTGGTAGCTCTTTATGTGCATATGTATTAGCTATTATTGTTTGTATCATATGCCTGCTCAGTTTGCCAATCTTCTCTATCTCCGTCTATCTTCTCTTTTCTGTTCTTTAGATTATTTGATACTACTCTACTTATCTTTGGTAAACTTTTATCTCCAAAGGTACTATAAAATCACTAAGTGTTATTTATGTATGTAAAGAGGTATAGAAACATTACTTTATTGTTTAGTAGCTTTATTACAATATGTCCTGCCCTACCAACTACTTACTCAAGGCCTAACCTTGCTTGTTTATGCACTGCTGTTGTTGCTGTCCAGGTCAGGGCCGCTGTATGCTTTGGGACGGGCTACTGCGCTATAATTCAATTATTCAACTTTGGCTCTAGTAATCCTGTCCTTATCTACAATACCATAATTAAGAAAGCTCTCAATTACAAAATATGCCCCTGATATCCAGGATCCCTTCTTATTATTTCTTAGAATGGTAAAAATACTTATGATTAGGACTACATTCTAATATATGCTTCACATGTAACTTAGAAAGATGGTTTGAAGATACACATGTAATTTGGACACAGACTATTGACTCAGATTAATTACTATTAATATGCTTATATATAAATGCTTACTATACATGGCTTATTCACAAGCTTTGGCTTGAAACTTATGAATATTGATCATGATCAGTTCCTGGATTCCTAATGTTGTGGACAGACATTTGCAATACTTACTACATATGAACATATTGCAGATTGTGGATTGCTAATCATGATTGAGAACTTGATTATTTGGAAGTTCTGACATCTGGCAAGTAGATTAGCATTGAGAAGCATGGACCAGATCTTGGTCCTGTTCTAGATAGCTTGTATATATAAATAGCCAAGATGAGCTTTTAAGAAGCTAAGCTTATTCACTTTGTATACAACTTGATCTCTGTACTGTATCTAGCATCTGACTACCTTTCTAGCTTATATATTACAAACTCTGCCAGATTCAAATTATCATACCTAGTCTGATGGAGCACTGGATTTGCCTCAAGTCTTTTATCATTCTCCTTTCTCTATAATATATCAAAGACTCATTATATATCAAGTTCTTTCCTAGAACCCATCTTAAGTTATCTGTTAGACCAGAGAAGATGGTCATGTATCAAAAGAGCATTATCCAATTCTTAAGGATCACCTTTTGCATTTACTTGAGGACAAGCTTAATAGCAATCAAGAATTTCTCTCATATACTCAAAGACAATGCATAGTCTTTATCTGTTGGACTCTTATACTCTATATAGCCTAGGGAACCCTTCTTAGTGCTTATTGCATATGATAAGTCTAGCAGCTTAACAATTACATTTTTGCAGAATTAAACAGTTTAGTGCTTAACCACCTAATTATGGTCTTTTGGGTTATCCCTTACTTTGCTTATAAGAAGCTCAATGTCCCTAATCTCAATGCTCTCCTTAATATCTCTATCTAGCAACTATATAGTATAGAAGCATTAGAGAGTGAGAACTCTAAGGCTAAAGATCTCTATAATAATAAAATAAACAACTCTAATAATAAGGCCTTACATTAAGACATCAATGTGGTCTCCAATGCCAATAAACCCATCCATCCACTTGTCTGATTCTGGGTAATATGACTAAGAACAGTTAAGAGCTTAGTAGGGTAAAAAGAAAAAGCTGTAATATTCAATTTCTTATGCTCTAATATTTCTCATATCATGCTTATATTTATTATTCTTAATCCAGACTCAAACTAGCAATCATTTTGGGTTTTATCTCAATGTTTCTTATAATTCACACTTTAATAGTTCTCTTACTTCAAAAGTTATATCAATAATTTTATTAGATTTATGCAAAACTGACTGCAACTCTACTTTTACTATGTTTCAATTTTACTCTTAATATTTATCTTGCTTACTATATATAATTTAGAACCTAGCACAAATTTTACCTCCTTTAGCTCAACTTTATTATACAAGAAACAATCAATAGAGACAAGTGCCTTATATTAATAATCAATATTATTATCTTATATTTTAGAGACACAAGGCTACTTAGCATTAGGAATCACCTTCATCAACCCTTTGCTATTCTTATCCTTGACCTCTAACCTCTCTAGCAATATCTCATAAACACAATGTAGCTTGGTAAGCTGAGCCCCATATACCTTGTACTCTGAGAAAAGGTCTCAAACCTCACTCTTTACTTGGTCTATCTACTAGCAAAGGATCCAGATATTGTGGTCCACTATACAATAAGTCTAAGCCTCACTATATATTATACAAGCCAGGTGACAAGTAGAATAACAAAGGTCATTATTAGGAAGGAAGCACATGAAGGAGAAGGCAACAAATAGTATAGGAGCAAAAAAGGATGTAAGAAAGTGGTAGTAAGGAGAAGAAAAAGAGAAGAAAAGAGAGAGCAAGAAAAGAGACTGAGGACTGTTGTACAACTTGCAATCCTAGCCACACTTAAGATAGTAGGTCATATTATTCAGAATGTGGAAGTAGGCAAAAGAGATGATAAAGTAGGTATAATAAGAGCAGAAAGATTTAGCCTAGAACAGAAGTAAACAGGGATAGGAGAAAAAAGAAGGACAAAATGCACCTATTATATGCTAGAAGGCAACTGGCCAAAAATAATCAGTTATCCATCTATTTTGTGCTAGCACTTTGTAGCATGCTCTTTGACCTTCATATCAGCCTCTGCCTTTAGCTGGGCAGACAACTTCACTAATATCCATACTAGCAGCACATACTGTTTTTCCTTCTAATTCACTTCCATGGCCTTCTTCTTAATGTTAACAAGGAACAGCCTAGCCCTGGAAGGCATAGGACTCTGCCCTCACATAGACAGGACTACAGTTGATGCCCATAAGGTATTAACTATATCACCCATTTATAAGATAAGTGCCACCATCTTGAGCTTGGCATTATGCACATTGTTATTACCTTGCTCTACTTCACCAGCTCTACTAAATAGCACTTGCTCTCTGCATATGAGATCTAGTTATTCACAAAGAGAAGGGCAATTACCTAATTGTAGCATTACAACTGGCCCTTATCTACAATATAGCACTTCTTGACCTAGAAAGCTTCTTTAGCCACCTTACATCCAATACACTCCTTTTTGACTACCTAATATCCCTTAGCTAACCAATAAGCCTTTTTTGCAATAGCTTAAATAGTGGCAAGAATAGTAATAACCTTAGTATGAACATAATTGTTGTAATATATAGTATATGTCTATAGGATATGGGACCTTTACTTAAGCTAGTCCTTGGTTGCATAAGTCTTAAGAGTGTTCTTGGTACTATCAAGCTAGTATACAGGCTCAGAAAGAGGAATGAAGTCAGATATTACCTTGAGACTAGCCTAGGGCAGGTTAGCAAAAAGAGCCATCTAGAAAACCTCTTTTTCTTATTAAACCCTAATTATTGATAATCATTAATAATACTAATTTGAGCAAACTAGAGTATATTATAGCTAATTGTCTATGGCCATGTTTTTTGCAAATTAAGGTAGTATTGTCTATACTAATAGAGTTTTATTGAATATTATACTCAATTGTAGTTTTACACATTTTATTCCAAATTGTGCAAGTGCCACAATTTGTTTTTACACTATATAAAGTGTATTTTTTATTTTCCATGAGTTTATTATCTTTTTAGCTGGTACTTGAATCAAATAATAATAAATCTGACTTTTTGGATATTTATTGACCTATTTACATATTAGATAAAGGAAAGACAAATATTGGACAATATCAGAGATATTAAGATTGCCTATATTATATCTACTTATTTAGATTACCAAGTTAATATATTAGATCTTATGGCTTAGTGGCTTAGAGCATCTATTCTAGGTACTTGTATATATAAGGTTGTTGGTTCAACTCTGGCAAAAGACAAGTTTGTTATAAGGTATATTTTATGGTTAGCTATTCAACTAGTGCTCTAATAAACATAACTCTATAAAAAATCCACAAGAATTATAACACTTGATTTATTGCTATTTTCCGAAATTTGAAGTTATAATTAATCCTAATAATTCCTAATTTAAGATGATTATATCTAATTGGAATAGGTTTAGAGAAGAGGTAAGCTAATAGTCTCTAATCCCAATTATTCTTAATTAGGAATAAATAAAACCAATTAAAGCATAATAAAAAGAAGGCAAAAGGCATAGGCAAGGGATTTGTTGCAAAAGTAAAAGGCAATCAAGGGGACTATATTAGGAGAGTGGAAGGCATCAGACATATTAGGGATGATAAAGGCAAATAGTATATTATATTTGGGTAATATATATCCCTAACAAAACAGCTGTAATTATTAGCTACTCTAGTGCAATGGGCCTTACTCTAAGCCACTTTGTTAGCCATCACATCTTACTAACTCTCTGTTTCTATGCCACTTGCTTTCTCTTATACCTCTGTAATATTCTATATCTGCTAGTTATGTACCACTGCTACTTGCTAATCTCACTCTAATAATAGCCACATAATTTAGTCCCTTTTTTATGGCCAATTCCTATCCTACACTACACTCCAATGCCACCAGGTTTAGCCAACTTCCACAATGCACTTGTTTACTTAGCCTCTAGGTTATATGATATAGCATAAGGACCAACTAAGGATAGTCAGAATTTTGGTAGGGAGGAGATAATAAGCACTAAGGCTCCCATTTTTATAGCTCTATATATACTATTGTGCTGACCTTATAAAGTACTATAGCTACTATAAGAGACTCTTTGGCATTCTTACAGCCTTATATAATTCCTTCCAACTTATACCATAAGCTTAACATCATAATATTAGGCTAATACAGTCTTTCTTGCATAATTTCTTTATTATCTGTGACCTTGCCTACTTTCTACACATATTGCACATTAATCTTGAGCCAGCCATAATCTTAGAGATATTGCTAAGTACCAACCATATGTATCTCAAGCATAGTTTATACAAGAAAAGCAACAAGCATTTTTATAGCACAAACTTATAACAAGTTTTATTATATATGCCTATTAGACAGTACAGGTCTCATGAGACACTCCTTCTCATTCCTTGTAAAGTTTGCCTTGTCCCTCTACTATACCTTGTACTAAATATTGCTTTGTTTCTTGACCACAGCACAATAGAACCTTGTAGTCTATAAGGACCTCTATATATGGTTTTTGTTTATCTCTTGATTTTATAGTTTTAGCATAATATTGCTCTCACTTTACCTTATAGCTTTATACTCACTCTACCTACTCTAATTTTACTATAAATACCTACAAGTTTTCAATCAAATAGTTTCAAATATCCCTTTATTTAAGCTTAACTTTGCAAAAAGATCTTGCTTGTATTATTCTTTACCAATATTGTTTTCATCTTGCTCAACTTTTTTTTCAACCTTTATTGTCTTTATTGTCAAGGCTCTTATCACCCTTGAAGTCACTTTGGTTAATTATGACCTTGATCTATATTATATTACCTTACACTATATAAGTGTAATATTATGTAATCTTAGCTCATCAATAGTATCCTTAATATCTTTTAAATGTATCTTATACAATCTTGTATTATTTCACTTGACATCTCAATATCTTATAGTATATATCTTGTGTCTTATCTTACAACTCATAAAGGTCCTTTAATATTATAGTAAAGTTAGTTCTTTGCCTATCCCTTGTCTAGTAGTATGTTTTTTAATATGTTTTTGCATAGAGCCATTACTAGCACATTAACAGAAAGGATTCTTAAGTATTTTATTATAAGTTGACCAAAAATTTCAAATTAGTAAATGCCATAGAAATCCTAGAGATTTCTTAACTAGACCCAAACTACTCTCAAAAATACTAACTACTAGGAAACATAGTATGATCTTAACCTAGAAATATGCTAAATTTGGAAAAGAATTTAGCCAAAATGAGCCCTTAAATATGCTAATTTCTAGGGACACCTTTATAAGAGGTTTGGAGGGCCTATATTTTTAAAAAGCAATAGATTTAGAGCTTTTACAATCTCTTTACTAAACTATTTTTCTTTTAGTAGATATGTTCTTAGCTATCATATAAGAAGATAAATTCTAAAAATGCATATACTCTGATAAGCAAGGTCTTGTCAAATATATATACTTACAAAAAGTAATAAGAATTACCACAATATCAAGGAAACACTTTATATCAAACTAACCATAGTTAAGCATAAATCTAGCTAGATTTCTGCTAATTACCATTTAGGATTTTTAGCTTACCCTTCTCTAATCCTGAAATTATAATGTCTAATTCAAGCTAATTAGAGCTAATTTGATATATGGATTTTTGGGAAAATAGCAACTAACCAAGTCTCATGATTTCTCTATTATTACTATATATTCAATCATAAAGTATCTATAAAGCTCACTAATTAAACCAAAGTTATACCTTATAATAAACTTGTTTATCACCAGAGTTAAACCAATAACCTTATACCTATATATTCTAGACTAGTGCTCTCAACCACTAAGCTACAAGATCTAAGTTATTTACCTAGTAACCTAAATATGATAATATAAATAAAGCAATCTTAATATTTCTGATTTTCTTGCATATTCATCTTTCATCTATTTAATATATAAAAGGGTCAAAAAATACATAAAAAATCAAGGCTTTTGATTTCTGAGTTTAGATACTAGGTAATAATATAGCAAACTAATAGAGAATAAATAATACACTAAAAATAAAATTAGATCTAATTAAGAAAGAAGGTTTTTCCAGATAAAAGATGCTAGAGCAGATGAAGGCTATTATTGCTGTTTGGTATAGACCTATGAAGTTCTAACATTATATATATCTTTGTTTATATATATTGAAGTGTTAAAACAGGCAAATTTCGGGCTATAAATATAAAGTAAGATACTCAGTCTCTAATAAGAAAACTAAACTATATTTCCTAACCTATAGGTTAAGGACAGAGAGTTAAAACCTAAGTACTTACCTATTAGAGATTAGATAACCAATATCTTGACAAAGTTACTTACATATGAGAAGTACAAGCATTTCACACAAGAAATAGGCTTGTGATACATTAGTTAAGTGGGTATGTTGGAAGAGTCTCTTGCACATATTGGAATCACCTACTATATAAGATCATTATATAATGAATAGAGTGAAAGAAAGTTTTCTTACTTGTTTTCTTATTTTCCCCCTTAGTTCTCTTATTGGAGACTAGGGTTAGTAATCTAGTATATATGCACATTCTTGCTTAGTGGCTAATATCCACTATAGTTTCTTACTTTATATCTTTTCCTACAAGAAATAGTGCCATATATCTATATGCTTTGTGCATGCATAGTATACTAGGTTTTTTATGATTGTTATTACTAATTAATTGTCAATGAGCAATAGAGTAGGCCTTTTACAAGGTAAGCTAATCTCAGAAAGTAAAATACATAACCACACTAACTCCCTTGCTATATGTGCTCCTACCACATACTTAGCCTTAGTGCTAGATAGCACTATTGAGGCCTATTTTTTAAAGCTCCAACTAATAGCTTTATTAGTAATTTTAAAAACAAGGCCCAAGATGGACCACCAGTTATTAACATTTCTAGCCTAGTCTACATTGACAAAACCTAGGAGTTACAGCTTTGACCTTTCTTAGTAAGTAAGCCTTATTTTGGACATCTCACACAAGTACTTTAAAATACATATGAGTGCATGTAGCACTTTTTCTATGGATACTAAGAAGGACTAGCTAATAGTTCTAACTGTGAATACAAGGTCCAGTTAGGTTTCTAGCATCATCCATATGACAAATCCATATCTGGAAAAACACCCTCTTGTATTAGCTCTAGATTATATCTAATAGTGTCTAAAAGTATCTAAAAGGGTTAATAGTATCTAAAAGTGTCTAATTTCCTAATTGGGAGCAACACATTGTGAGCACTGGATTGGTTTCTAATTTTATAATATTAGCACTAATTCCATACCAAGAAATCTTTAATTAGCAGTAGGAAATAGTAAGTACTACTGATCTATCAGTGAGAAGGTAAAGATGTGGCACATTCTATACTATTTTAGCATATTACTCTCCTTCATATATACCTGCACCATAATCTTGCAGCTCTTTTGCTGACTTTCCAGCTGCCTTTACAAGGGATATAGAAAGAGAGAAATATACATTGATGCCCTAGCTACTTTATTGGCAGCTTAGCAGCTGCTACAAGAGACTATAAAGACCTTAGTACCTTGGCCTTGCACACTACAAGACATAACATGCAGGGTTGGGCTTATGGATGTGCTACATGCAGCCTTATAGACCTTGTCTATTAGTGCAGTGGTCAATACTGTCTTATGCAGCACACAATTGTTATTACCATTGATATTATAATTTTTAGCACTATCCACATTGTTCATTGCCTTGTTATATAGAAGATGCTCAAACTTGGTGTTTTTCTCTAACCATTGGGCTGTGGAAAAGACAGTCATGTTGGTATGTGATGCCAGAATGATATATTTGTTTGTTATGTAGGAAATATGTGCACCAAGCATATTGTGATTATCTCCAACAATCATGTGCTTATTTATACATAGGCATGCCATATATACCCTTGTCCCTACCCTCTACCTCACTAGTGGCTATTTGGAAAACCCTTCTCTCTTATTGGATCTGAATTATTGATAATCATTGATAATACTAATTTGAGCTAATTATGGCCCATTATTTATAATTATGTTTTTGATCAAATTTTCAAATTAAGGTAGTATCTATACTAGTAGAGTCTTATTGAATATTACACTTAATCATAGTTTTACACAATCTAAATCCAAATTATATAAGTGCCATAATTTGTTTTTACCCTATATGAAGTGTATTATTTATTTTCCATTGGTGTATTATCTTCTTAGCTGGTATTTAAAATAAATCCTAAAAGGCCTAACTTTTTGGGCATTTATTGACCTATTTATTTATTAGATAGAAGAAAGATGAATGTTGAATAAAATCAGAGATGCTGAGATTGCCTATATTATGTCTACTTATTTAGATTACCAAGTTTATATATTAGACCTTGTGGCTTGGTGGCTTAGAGCATCTGTCCCAGGTGCTTGTATACATGAGGTTATTGATTCAACTCTAGCAGAAGGCAAGTTTGTTGTAAGGTATATTCTGTGTTTAGGTATTCAACTAGTGCTCTAATAAACATGACTCTATAAAAAGGCTATGAAAACTGTGATGCTTGATTTATTATGATTTTTCCGAAATTTCAAGTTATAATCAATCCTAATAATTTCTAATTTAAAAAAATTATGTCTAATCAGAACAGGTTTAGAGGAAGGGTAAGCTAAAAATGTCTAATCCTAATCTTTCATAATTTAGTATAGCAGAGCATCAATTATAGCTAATTAGAGCTTAATACAAGGGGGTGGTTTTCTAGATGCCAAGGATTTGCTAATAAGTGTGTGTATCAACTTTGGGGCTCTTAGCATGGACTAGACACTAGTTTGCTAATATTGGTGTAACCATGGGCTATACACCCTGTTGGTCAAACCTCAACAGTCCTGCCTTAATATGTTGCTCCTATAACAGCTAAATGTGCTTTGTGTCTCTGTTCTTCTTGATACAGATTCTTAAGACCCAGTTTGCCTCTCTAAGGTCTGTTATGCTAAAAAACTTCTTTAGCAGGTTTTTGACCTCTTCCAGATCTTTAAGAGCTTTGTAACAGAGGCAGGGGTCAGAGGCACAGGCTATAAAGCCTAACAACTTGATCTTCCTATAGATGCACTTGTACCAGATGTGCCCTACTTGTTTTAGGCCATAGAATGATTTTCTTAGCCTCTAGACAATCTTATTCCTAGACTTGAAACTCTCAGGCAAGTCTATGAAAATCTCTTTGTTGGGAACTCTATTTGGGTAGGCCATCTTCATATCTAATTGGTAAACCTCGGGGTCCATCTCAGCAGCTAATACAAGAATAGTATATAAGATGGTGAATTTGATAGTAGATACAAATATTTTATTGTAGTCAATTCTGTTAACTTGCATAAAACCCTTCACCACCAAGTGTGCTTTATGCTTCTCAATCTTGCCACTTAGCCCTTGATTTACTCTCAAGACCCACTTGCTTCCTATTCTCTTTTATCCATATGGCTGCTCCATCTTCTTAAAGACCTCCATCATCTTAAGGGACCTCATCTTCTCTTAGTAGGCTGCAAGCTATTTAGCCACATCTCTACTAGCTATTGCAGCCATAAAGGTAGGTGGATTTTCATTGCTTCTGCTACATGTAAAGTTGATGACTTTGGGTATGTTGACAAAGTCTTTGTCATCCAAGTCACTTATCTTCTTAAGCCTAGGAAGGTCATCCTTAATAGGCTTAACTTATTTAGACAGGAGTTTGGAGCTAGCAGGCTTGCCCTTGTGGGCATACAATAAGACTTTATAGTATGCATTGTCATCATATATGGGTACACTCCTTAGTCTGACAGAGCAGTATAGCTCCACTAGTAGTTTGGGATACTAGGATGTGCTTCTAGTATTGCTGCCAGCATAGAGGACATTAGAAATGTCTTGACTGAATTTTGGTTCCTTTCTTTAAATAGGTGTCTCTTCTTCCTTCCTATCTAACCTATTGCTCATATTACCCATACTAATCTTGATACACTCAAGTTTACTAGGTCCCTTATCAAATATAATATTGTGCAGCTCTAAAATCCCAAGATACAATGCTATAAGCTCAATGCCGAACTACTCAATTGATTACTAATTAGCTACCTACAAAACCAATAAGCCTATTGCCTCATATACTGCCCTAATAGGTAGGACTAGCATATATGATATGTAGCCAAAGACCCTGAGATAAGCTATACTTAATTTGTTTCTGAACCAAGCTTCTTTTAGTATAACATCCTTTTTTGGAGATCATATTAGACTAACATTGTACACTAGGGCTGCATATTTGACTGTGTCATACTAGTAAGACTTTAGAAGGCTGGCATCTTATAATATAGCCCTTATATTCTTAATAAGGGTCTGGTTTATGTGTTTGGACACCTGTTATATAAGTCTTGATAGTGGGGACCTTGTGCAATGTTCCCTTGCTTTCTAGGTATATCTATAAGATTTCTTCTAAGTACTCACCACTAACATCCAACCTTAGTGCCACTGAACATTTTCCAGTCTCTACCTTTGTGTGGGTGATATATGGCAAAAGCTTGGCAAGGCCTCTGTAAGTGTAGTAGGCTCAAGGTCATTATATGATATATATAAGAATGAGTAAAATAATGTGAAGTAATGACCATGGTGTATAAGAAAGACTACATTAGCCCAAGACCATAATGCAAGCTTGTAGTAGATATTAGAAGAAATTGTGCTAGCCTACAAGGTCACCTAGTAGTATCTAGGGTCCTCGATAAGGTTAGTACACTAGTGCTTATAGAACTGCAAAAATAAGGGCCTCAGTACTTAGAGAGGTAGTATACTTATTAACATCCAAGTTACTTGACTAGCCCACCTTCTCACATGTAAAGTGTTATAAACTGCCTATTTAGTAACCCTAAGAGTATGAGGTTCTTTCCTAGGTCACACAATAAGGAAGAGTAGAACAATGGTCCCAACTATATGAGCATATAGGAGCAGATGATATTTAGAGTACATAGTAGGGGAGAACTATAATAGACAAGTATGGTGTTGTAGAGTACTATAGGAAAATGGTACCAAATAAAGAGAATAGACTAAAGATCTTTAGCCTATTCTATGGGCCTTGTATATTACTTTGGGAAACTGTGAGAATGCCACTAGTTCCTCTTGGCATTCTCTAAGTTGCTGCTCTTTTCCAGCAACTACTCTTGGGCTCCTCCTATTATCTCCTTTCAACCTAGAATTATGATGGTATGGGTTCCTTTGTGAAGTAATGATAATAAGCCCCCCAATGGTCACCTCTATATAACCTCTTGTGATACTCAACTAGCAATGACAATATCTACTAGGAGTCAATAATCTAAGAATTATACCTTAGACCATAATGTCTGTGCTATGGTTAGCGCTACCTAGTATTTGTAATGATTAGTTACCAGTTAGACTAGGCCTTAGAGGCCCTAGTAGACTATAATCATAATAGTATCACCTTTCCACATCCTAGTGCCTAATAGGACACCTATATAGGATTTTGTTGCCATGCCATATACAATATGCTTTCCTGAGCAAATAAAAGAGCAGATGTGGCTTTTACTATGACTTTATTTTCTTAGAAAAAGACTAACCTATATTGTTTGATCCTTTAAGATTTTTCCATCTCTATTGAGTTGTTTGTTTGTAGACTATTGGGATTTCTCAAGCCCCTCATTGATAGGATGTTTTTCCTTTACCCACTATTTTTGTTATGGGTTGAGCTTGGGTTCTCAAGCCAAGCATTACTATCTCTACCAAACCATACTAGTCCATGATTGCTATGCCAAGGAGGACTCTAGACAAGTAGGTTAATTGCTTTACCAAGGCTTAGGCCTACTTCCCTATTATAGTAACTATTCTGCAACTTGTTTTGAGTCTGGTAGAGTTTCTCTAATAATCCCAAATAATATTGCTCCTATATAGTGAGCTTAATTCTAGTAAGGTTAGGTGTGCATCCAGAGTTTGTTTATTACAAATATGGGCCTATAGTAGGGAATACCATATATAGTGTTGGATTTGAGGCAGGGATGTGAAGAAGAATAGACTTGAATATTGATACTCCTATTAAGCTATATTGCTCCCATATAGTGAGCTCACCTCTAACTAAGATTAGGATTGGAGTAAAGAGGGGGTCTGGCCTCTTGCTTGTTGACCAATATCAACTTTAGGTGCATGAGAAGACTTTGTGACCACAGATGATTGATTATGCAGGATTACATAAGGTAAATCCAAGAAAGGCAGTTTAAATATCTTATAGGATGTTTCATAGTTTAACATCTTTGTGGATATTGTGGCAGTCTTAGGCTTATCTTGTAGGATAGTAATAATTATATAGTTTTATCTTGTTATACAGGGATGGTTATATGGGACAGCTTTTAGCATTTAGATACTGTCCCTTAGTTAAAGGGCAAGGTCATTGTGAACCCTCTTCATTGTTAACATAGAGTACCTATAAAGAAAAACTTTTCTATATACTAAAACATCTATTAGTAGTGTGTATAGGGCCCTAGACTAGGCTTCATCTTGACAGGGTTCCACTAAGGTATGGTAGGAACAGTTTATACTATATCAAACTAGATAACTTAGACCTTGTGTTAAGGTCAACTCAGTTTAATACTGTGAGCTTAGGTGACTTCTATCATCTAACTTGTTCTTCTAAGCCATAATAGATTTTGCCTTCCAAAGATAAGGGTAGTTGACTGTTATTTCAGACTCGATCAATATATTGTTGCCAATAATAATGTTAATTGATAATATCTATGTGAAAGGGGATGAGTAGTTTAGAATCGTTGTAGACATGAATAGTTAACTATCATCTTGGATGTGCCTTGTGCTTTTGGAAGGACAATACCTGGTTTAAATTGTTCCAGACATTAACCAAAGGAGCAGTCTGGTGGGGTAGACCATTACATTACTACAATATCACAATAAGTGGTTGGGATGAGTCTCATAATCTGGTCTACTATAACTAGAGACTTAACTCAAGGTGCATATCCTAGTTGCCTTCTAATAGGTCTTGAAGTGGAATTTCTTGTCTTTGACTTTAAGACTAGACTGGGCATACTACAAGAAAATGCTGGCTCTTTCATATCTCTAGATACCTTGTCTGGAATTGAACCAGAATAACCCCATATTCTTTTACCAAAAGACAGAGGAATATGGAAGTGCCTGACCACTTATAGGCAGGGTCCTATAATATGGAAGTTTGGGTTCCACACTTTACTAGGATACAACCACTATCCATAGGTCATTAGTAGTTTAATTGCTGTCTTGGATGTAGGTACATCTGGAAAAACACTCTCTTGTATTAGCTCCGGATTATATCTAATAGTGTCTAAAAGTATCTAAAAGTGTTAATAGTATCTAAAAGTGTCTAATTTCCTAATTGGGAGCAACATATTATGAGTATTAGATTGGATTCTAATTTCATAATATTAGCACTAATTCTATACTAAGAAGTCTTTGATTATTAGTAGGAAATAGTAAGTACTACTGCTCTATAAGTAAGAAGGTAAAGATGTGGCACATTCTATACTATTTCAGCATATTACTCTTCTTCATATATGCTTATACCATTATCTTGTAGCTCTTTTGCTGACTTTCCAGCTGCTTTTATAAGGGATATAGAAAGAGAGAAATGTGCATTGATGCCCTCAGCCACTTTGTTGACAGCTTGGCAGCTGCCACAAGAGGCTATGAAGACCTAGGCACCTTGTCCTTGCACACAAGATCATTAAAGTTGTCATTGTTAGCCAATGCCTGCTACTGGTCATTATAGGACACAATATGTGGGTTGGACTTAGGGATATGCTATATGCAGCCTTATAGACCTTGTCTATTAGTATAGTGGCTAATACTATCTTGTGCAGCACACAATCATCATCACTATTGATATTATAATTTTTAGCACTATTTATATTGTTTATTTCCTTGTTATACAGAAGATGCTCAAACTTGGTGTTTTCCCCTAGCTATTAGGCTGTGGAAAAGACAGTCATATTGGTATGTGGTGCCAGAATAATATATTTGCCTGCCGTATAGGAAATATATACATTAAGCATATTAAGATCACCTCCAACAATCTTGTGCTTATTTATATATAGGCATGCCATACATATACCCTTGTCCCCATCCTCTACCTCACTAGTGGCTATTTGGAAAACCCCTCTCTCTTATTGGATCTTGATTATTCATAATTATGTTTTTGATCAAATTTGCAAATTCAGGTAGCATTGTCTATACTAGTAGAGTCCTATTGAATATTACACTCAATCATAGTTTTACACATTCTCAGTCCACATTGTATAAGTGCCATAATTTATTTTTATGCTATATAAAGTGTATTATCAATTTTCCATTGGTTTATTATTTTCTTAGCTGGTGTTAAACTAAATCCTGAAAGACCTGACTTTTTAGGTATTTATTGACCTATTTATTTATAAGATAGAGGAAAGATAAATATTAAATAA